ATTTATTTAATAAATTCCATAAACCTTACATGAAAGACATTAAACAAAAAGTACTCACCCCCTTAAAAGGAGGAAGATAATGACCATCAAGGCATGGCCAAATTACACAATCTTAGAAAACAGTACAGTAGGTAATTATTGGACCTTTTTGATCAGTGGCATCCTTGCTTTGCAGATGTGTACCACCACTGCACCTCACAGGTTTCTGTAAATATAGTGATTTGGGGTTCCCTTCTGTTGGGCATTCTTCTATCATGAAACCATTTGGTGATGAGAAGCTTGAGTTTCTAATGCGTGTTCATCGGCTTTATTGGAGCTGCTTTTGTACTGTGGCCACCCATTTAACTTCCTCTGTGGTTGATACATGAGAGCTAGAGGACTCTGCCTTAGCTTCTTCACCAGAACACCACCTGATGTCTCCAAATGTCTTACACTGTGGCTCCCCTGTAAGAGAGGTGGAGAGGAGAGAGGCCAGGGCTGAGGCCATTCCAGTGAGATGATCACTTTCTTGGGCTACTGCCTGAGACCTCTCAAAAAACAGAATCTGTCCATGGGCTCTAGTGAGGGGAGAGGAACCTGCCTTCAGTTGGCTGGTCAGAAACAGTTACCCAGGGCCAGGTGTGGTGGCTCATGCCTATAATTCCAGCACTTTGGGAGAGCAAGGGTGGAGGATTGCTTAGCCCAGCAGTTTGAGACCAGCCTGGACAACATAACAGGACCATGTCTCTACAAAAATGATTTAAAAATTAACTGGGTGTGGTGGCATGTACCTGTGGTCCCAGCTACTTGGGAGGCTAAGGATTACTTAAGCCCAGGAGATCGAGGCTGCAGTGAGCTGTGATTGTGCCATACTCCAGCCTGGGCAACAGAGTGAAACTCTGTCTCAAAAAGAAAAAATGTTTCAGACACAGTCAGTGTCGAAGATGTCAATTAGCAAGGTTTTGTTAATCCCCTGGAAGTGTGCAACCCAGAATTAAACAGATGTTTAAGAACATAAATAAAAGATGAATCCCTGGCCAGGTGCAGTGGCTCATGCCTGTAATCCCAGCACTTTGGGAGGCCGAGGCAGGTGTTTCACGAGGTCAGGAGTTTGAGACCAGCCTGACCAACATGGTGAAACCCTGTCTCTACTAAAAATACAAAAATAAGCCAGGCTTGGTGGTGGGCACCTGTAATCCCAGCTACTCAGGAGGCTGAGGCAGGAGAATCACTTGAACCCAGAAGGCAGAGTTGCAGTGAGCCGAGATCGCACCACTGCACTCCAGCCTGGGCAAAAGAGTGAGACTCCATAAAAAAAAAAAAAAAAAAAAAGATGAATTCCTAACACTTAATATATTTAGATAAAGTCTAACTTATCTTTAAAGTTAACTTTAAACAACTGCTCTACAACATAATATTATCCCCTGTGTAGACAGTGGCCTCTAGTATAAGCTTTGAATTGGTTTAAAAAATAAATTAGATTAAGTATGAAAACATCTCTTCAACATTTCCATATCTCTACAACTCTTTGTTAGAAATATCCATTTTGTCCTGTATTCACTTTCTGCTGAACTAAAGGGCATGCCAGTCTCCAGAGGATGACAGATGGGCAGAAATTTATAAAACAGCAGCAGTCATGGACAGCCCAGAATACAAGTAGAACATACCAGACCTCTTGGGTAACTACTGCCTCAGTGAGAAAGGATCCAGAGATCCAGCATCCCCAGATTCCCTCACATACTGACCAAAAAAACTTTTTTAGTTTGCAGATTTTGGTGGGAATAGGGAGGGAGTATTAGAAGCTGAAGTTCTTGCTGTATTTAAATAATCATGACAGTAACAAAATTCAGTTAAATAATGCCCCTTCTAGGCCGGGCGTGGTGGCACATGCCTGTAATCCCAGCACTTTAGGAGGCCGAAGCAGGCAGATCACTTGAGGTCAGGAGTTTGAGACCAGCCTGGCCAACATGGTGAAACTTCATCTCTACTAAAAATACAAAAATTAGCCAGGCGTGGTGGTGCACACCTGTAATCCCAGCTACTCTGGAGGCTGAGGCAGGAGAATCGCTTGAACCGGGGAGGTAGAGGTTGCAGTGAGCTGAGATTGCGCCACTGCACTCCAGCCTGGGCTACAGAGCGAAACTCCATGTCAAATAAATAAATAAATAATGCCCCTTCTAGTTGAAGACCTAAGTTCCCACCTAAGCATAATTTGAATTTACCCAATTTATCTTCTTTCAAAATTCCTCAAACATTTCACCTTATTATTCCTTTTAAGGATTACAAAGTAGAACGGGGGGAAAAGAAACCACTATTAAGGAATAATAGCCATTTGACAGACAGGTGTTCTTAGTTTCATAAAAAAAGATGCCTGGTAGATTCAGTCTTTTATGAATACTAAAGAATGTCTCTTATTTTTGTTTGTTTGAGACAGGTTCATTTTGAACCTAACCTGGTGTTCTCAGGGAACATAGGTTAGAGGGGAGAGACTTAGTAGTGAGGGCTCAAGCAAGAAGCATGTCAGAAGGCTGCTGTAGTGGTCCCGGTGAGGAGTGAGTGGTAAGAACGGAACTAAAATACCATGAGGAACGTGGGCCAAAGGAAGCAAGTCTGAGAGATTTAGAAAGTAAATCATCAGGATTCAGTGGTGACTCTTGGATTTGAAGAGGGAAAGGGAATAATCTAAGGTAGCTGTCAGTTTCTGCTATGGGTGGTTGGGCTAATAGTAGTGTATTAACTGAAATGGGGGGCAGGCAATTTGTGAGGGTGAGTTGAGTTCAGCATGGGGCGTGTTGACTTTGAGGTGCCTTTGAAACAGGAGTGGATATGTCTAATTTTACATGAAGTGTCTGCTTAAGAGACTGTGTAGAGACACTCACAGGGCTGGGTAGGAACACGGAATACCTCAGGTACCAAATGAAAACTTTTGGCAATAACAAGAAGTTAGGAAGTTGAAGAGGGTAGAAGAGGCAGCAGAAATGTAGATGGGTAAGAACATCTTGGCGTATTTAAGTGACATTGTGAATAAACCTGTCCTACTGGGCCAGATGGGATTAGGGCTGAGATCAAAGCAGGCCTAATGCAGTTTGCAGACGTGTTTTGTGTGACTTTTGTAGAGCTGGATCACACAGTGTCCTAAATTTAAATTAGGTGCCAACATTTCCACACAAAATCCAGATTTCTGACTTTTCTTTTAAATTAAAGGGATCCTAGAGGTAGATTTGGCAACATTGGTAGACCTATATGATAATAATCGACTGCAATATATGTCCTTTCTCTCCAATGAACCTGTTTTACTTTTTTGTGTTATTTCGCTGGGCCCTTAGACATTTAATTTTCTGCTGTTTTGTTTTGTTTTGTTTAACCCAGGCTTGTAAGTCAGATGAATTTTCTACTTCTGAGTCAAAGATCAGTAGGTAATAAAGGTACAAAGATGGATTAGCAACAGATTACGGAAGGCTTTGAATACCAAACTAAGGAGTGTAAATGTAGGCAGTGGGCCGCCTTTGAATAAGGAATTGATGAGATTAAAGCCATATTTAGGAGGATTATTCTGGACCAGTATGAAAACACAGAAGTTAGGGAAAACAGTTAATAGTTTTGAAAGAGAAGAGAAAAAGGAGATGGTGTTGGGATACATAAATGGGCTTTTAAAATGCAAAATGAGAAATGTTTTAAAGAGATATCATCCAGGAAGGCTATTCACTGCCACATGGGCACTATGTGGGTAGTTGTATTTGGTGGAAATTTGCTTGCAGATTTCCAGAACTGAGACCCATGTGTGGTGTGGGGGATGATTATTGTCAGGCATTATGGAAACGTCAAACAGAATATGCTCACTGGTTATCTATGGCCCACAGGTCACTGTAGTCTCTGTTATATGTACACTGTACATGGAGGAGAAAGGTCCTTTGAAAAAAAGAAGGCTAAAATTAATATCTTATTGTTATTAACTGTGTGCCAAACACTATTTTAAACTCTTTACACAGACATTTAATCCTCACAACCAATTTCTGAAGTAGGTACTACTCCAATTTCCATTTTACAGACAAAGAAACTGAAACCCTAGAGGTTAAGAACTTACTCAAAGCCACAAGGCTGATAAGAACAGAACCAGGACTTGAACGCAAGCAGTCTGCCTCTCCAGTGGTGTATCTTTTAACTGCTCTGTTAAGCTGCCCCTGCATTTTTATCTGTTCTAATGCTACACAAATAGGCAACTTTACAGGTAGAGAACCTTATGCTTTCATTCTGGAAGCTCTGTTATAACTCATTTCAGGGGTGTCAATTTGGTTCAGGTCCTCCTAGAATAAATAAAACTTCAGAATTGACCCTTGAACTGTCTCTTAGGGGGCAGATAATATAATGGGTCCTTGGGTGACCTTGAGAGAATAGGTATGTTCAAATGTCTATTCTCTTCCTTTAGCCAATGGCTCAGTATAGCTTATAATTGTATGCTTCTCACCCTTTGTTGAAAAATAAAAACTCTTATAAAAATGCCTTTTTTTTTTTTTTTTTTTTTTTGGAGACGGAGTCTTGCTCTGTCGCCAGGCTGGAGTCCAGTTGTGCAATCAGCTCACGGCAAACTCCGCCTCCTAGGTTCAAGCGATTCTCCTGTCTCAGCCTCCCAAGTAGCTGGGATTACAGGTGTATGCCACCACGCCTGGCTAATTTTTGAATTTTTTGTAGAGATGAGGTTTCACCATGTTTGGACAGGCTAGTCTTGAACTCCTGACCTCAGGTGATCCACCCACCTCGGCCTCTCAAAGTGCTGGGATTACAGGCATGAGCCACCGTGCCCAGCCATAAAAATGCTTTTTAAAATGAAAACTAAAACATGTTAAATTTTTTTCATATGTTTTCATGAAAAATTATCACAGGACAAATTTCATAAATATCAAATTTGAAAAAAGTTGAGAGCCCATAACATTGCAGAGAAGCAAATGCATTTGATGCAGAGCCTCAAACTTGCCAAGTTTTTCTACCATATTTAGTGTGGTTTCTTTCTCTTTGGCCTACAGATGAAACATGTAAATGAAAGATTTCAAGATGAAAAAAATAAAGAGGTTGTTCTCATGTGCATTGGCATCACTTCAGGAGTTGGACGACTGCTCTTTGGCCGGATTGCAGATTATGTGCCTGGTGTGAAGAAGGTTTACCTACAGGTACTTTTTTACACTTTTCCCCTATCAGAAATTACTCTCATCACCCGATGGCTCATTAAATGTACTTACATGCTTAAATTATTTTTTATCTTCTTCTTTTTCTTTTTGAGATGGAGTTTCGCTCTTATTGCCCAGGCTGGAGTACAATGGTACAATCTCAGCTCTCCACAACCTCCACCTCCCAGGTTTAAGGGATTCTCCTGCCTCAACCTCCCAAATAGCTGGGATTACAGGCATGTGCCACCACACCAGGCTGAGTTTTGTATTTTTTAGTAGAGATGGGATTTCTCCATGTCGGTGAGGCTGGTCTTGAACTCCCGACCTCAGGTGATCTGCCTGCCTCGGCCTCCCAAAGTGACTTAAATTCTTCTATAAAAATGAGAAATATTTTCTACAACATAACTTCTTTAGGCAGTTTTTCAAGGACAAAGTCAGTTATTAGTTTGGGTTTTAAACATGAAAAATTGGCAATGAAACAATTTCTTTGTTTTGTCATGGAACTCCACCAAACCAGAATGGTTTTTGTCCATTGCTTTTTCTATGAAGAATGTTTTTTGGTGTAGTTCTCATAGTCATGTGCAGATCCTGTGCTCTTTGCATGTCTTATGAAATTTGGTTGTGTGTGTGACTTTTGAGCTTCTTTACTGCAAATTGCCTCCTGTTTTTTTGGGGTGAGCATAAACAAATGCTAATTCCAAGATCATTACTGACAATCAACAGAACAGGTATTGAAGTGACTCCTTTATGTCACACACTTGGCTAAATGCTGAAGACTTAAGTGAAGCATGGTCTGTGCCCTCAGCTAATATCTAATGGTCTCATGGGAGAAGATAAAGCGGTGTTGCAGCTTTAAAAATGGGTTTGCTAGATGGGTGCCATGGCAACACAGGCACCATGCATCTGAGTCACTAGCGAGGTCTGAGTAGAGTTAAGAGGAGAGGACCAAGTATGTAGATAAGGAAGACAGAGAAGCATGCTCCGAGCAAAGACAAACACATGGGAAAGCTGTGGATGTGTGACATGGGATGTTATATCTGGGAAACGAATGTTTGAATGGAATAAAGGGAGAATAGTAGTTGGATTGCTTGGGGGGATGGACAGGAAGCAGCTTGGGAAGGGCCGTTATGTACATGAGCTCTATCCTGCAACCTACCAGGAGCAATTAAAGGATTTTAAGCCAGAGGGTGACATAAGTTGGGGCAGCGGGGGTTGGTGTTTTTTTGTTTTTTGAGGCAAGGTGTCACTCCATTTCCCAGGCTGGAGTACAGTGGTGCCATCACGGCTCACTGCAACCTCGACCTCCCAGGCTCAAGCAATCCTCCCACCTCAAACTCCTGAGTAGCTGGGACTACAGGTGCATGCCGCCATGCCTGGCTAATTTTTGTTTTTTTTTTGTGTGTGTGTGTGTGTGTGTTTTGTAGTAACAGGGTTTCGCTGTGTTGTCCAGGCTGGTCTCAAACTCCTGGACTCAAACGATCCACCCACTTCAGCCTCCCACAGTGCTGGGGTTACAGGTGTGAGCCATGCCCAGCCTGAGTTGTGTTTTATAAAGATCAATCTCGGCTGTGTGTGGTAGCTCATGCCTGCAATCCCAGCACTTTGGGAGGCTGAGGCAGGTAGATCACCTGAGAGTTTGAGATTAGACATGGTAAAACCCCATCTCTACTAAAAGTACAAAAATTATCCAGACATGGTGGCACATTCCTGTAATCCCAGCTACTCAGCAGGCTGAAGCAGGAGAATCACTTGAACCTGAGAGGCAGAGGTTACAGTGAGCTGAGATTGTGCCACTGCACTCCAGACTGGGTGACAGAGCAAGACTCCATCTCAGAAAAAAAAAGATCAATCTGGTAACTGTGAAGAGTGGAATGGAGTGGAGGAGGGGACAAGAGTTGAGATAGTCACAAAAGGCCACATACTGAATGATTCATTTATATGAAGTGTCCAGAATAGGAATCTCTGTCTCTTTCCATAGAGAAAGAAGGTAGATTTGTGGTTGTAGGGGCTAGGGAAAGGAGGGAATGGGGAGTAACTGCTACTGGGTTTCTTTGTAGGGTAATGAAAATGTTATAAAATTAGATAGTGATGAAACTCACTGAAGTGTACACTTTAAGTGGGTGAATTTCATAGAATATGAATTATATCTCAATAAAGCTATTTTGAAAAAAGGCCAGGCATGGCGGCTCATGACCGTAATGTCAACACTTTAGGAGGCTGAAGCAGGAGGATCACTTGAGGCCAGTTTGAGACAATCCTGGAATCATAGTGAGATCTCATCTCTATAAGAAAAAAAAATTTTTTTTAAGTTAGCCAGGCATGGTGGCACATGCCTATAGTCTTAGCTATGCAGGAGGCTGAGCTGGGAGGACTTTGAGCCTAGGACTTTGAGGTTACAGGGGAGTATGGTCATGCCACTGTACTCTAGCCTAGGCAACAGAGTGACACCATGTCTCTAAAATTTAGAAAAAAAGAGTAGAGGTCCAGGAACTAGTTGGAAACTATTTTAAAGTAGTCTAGGCATCTAGGCAGGAAGAACCAAGGCAGAGATACTGAGATCAAATGGAATAAGCTAGGGACATAGAGAATGAAAATTTGATGAAGCCACTTAGGCTGGATCTGAGATTTATGGCTCAGGTAATGGAGTAGATGATTTTTCCATCTTATCAAGATCAATATGCAGTAGATCTAAGTATGATGATGAATTGGGTTTTTAAATTAAAAAAAATTTGTTTCACCCAGCCTACCTGCCCTTGCCCCAGTGATGAGTTTGTTTGTGCCATGTGAAGTTTGTGATGCCTGTAGGAAAGCCAAGTTGAGTTTAGAGCTCATGAAAGAGTCTAGATAAGAGGCCTGTGGGTTAAGAGGCCTGTGGGTTTGGCATTCATGGGCTGCATGAAGTAAGTGGAGGACTAGGGAGACAGAAAAGGAGTGGCCAGATAGGCAGGGGGTAAAACAGGGACGAGAGTGTTTCTAGGGGCAGGACTGGTCAGCAGTGTCAGTAGCTAGTGACAAAGAGGCTGAAAGGTTTTCATTGAATTTAGAACAGGGAGGCTATGAGTGACCTTACAGAGAATGGTTTCGTGGATGGCAGGTGCAGAAAATTGATCATGATCATTTGAACAAATGGAAATATAGACAACTTTGTCCAAACGCTTGGCTGTGGAAGGAAGGTAAAGGCGAGCCATAAGGGGGGCCTTAGGATTTGGGGATTAAGCCTGTCTAATTATACTATACATGAGAGGCAGTATTTGAGCAGGGTCTTGAAAAAGAGGTGAAATTTGGACACAGGAAAATGATTGGAAAAGGCATTACAGATAAACTTCCATTAATTGACTTGAAGTAATAACAGTCAACCATTTATTGAGGACTTTCATGTGCCAGACAATGAACTAAGGGCTCTACATGCATTATCTCATTGATCCTTGTCCCAGCCCTTTAAGAGAGGGTACCATTGTTATTTCCACTTAGAGATGTGAACACTGAGGAACAGAGAGGCTACCTCATCATGGGTGTCTCTGTGTATAGAGATCCAGGCAGTCGCAGGACAGTCTGGTCACACAGCTGGAAGGAAGTGAAGAGAGTTGGTAATGTGCTGCTTTTAAAAATGTATTTATGGTATCATGATCACTTTGTCAATACCTCACTGTGGACATCCTCATCTAACATTTAGTTTTGTCCTCTAGTGTCAAGGGAGCCCTCTAATGGACATTTGTTGCACTACAGACTTTCAGCTTTTATTCATTCAAAAAGTTGAGTGCCTCCTGTGCCCCAAGCACCAGCTCAGATGCCGTTAGGGTGATGCAAACAAGACAGAGACAGACATGGTCCCTGAGTTCCTAAAGCAAGACTGAGGCAGGAAGAAGCCAAATGTGTTTGGAAACCCAAGAAGACAGGAAAGTGGCATGGGAAGAGACTGGAAAGTTAGAGTGGGTCAGATTAGACAGAGCCTTGAAAGCAAAGATGAAGAGACTTTGCTTTAAGAGTGGTGGATTTTGGCCAGGCGTGATGGTTCACGCCTGTAATCCCAGCACTTTGGGAGGCCAAGGCTGGTGGATCGTGAGGTCAGGAGATCGAAACACAGTGAAACCTCGTCTCTACTATAATTACAAAAAATTAGCCGGGCTTGGTGGCACGCGCCTGTAGTCCCAGCTACTGGGGAGGCTGAGGGAGCAGGATCGCTTGAATCTAGGAGGCAGAGGTTGCAGTGAGCCAAGATCGCACCACTGCACTCCAGCCTGGGTGACAGAGTGAGACCAAAAAAAAAAAAAAAAAAAAAAAAAGAGTAGTGGACCTTTGTTGGAGGACATAGGTCTGATTTCATGTTTTTAAAGTCACTGTGGTTGTTCTGTGTGTGGAGGATGAATTACAGGGAGGGAAACGAGAGTGCAAGAGGGGAGGAAGACCCGGTAGGTGATCAATTCAGGGTCCAGGTGAGAGATGATGGACTATGGTGCTGTAATAGATAAACTCATGATATATTTTATATATCAGCATTTTATTCCAAAACAATTTTCGATTTTCGAATGTCCTCCTACCCTAGATAGGGCAGACAGATTATCTGTAACATTTTTGGAGCACATTTTAATACCTGAGTGTTTCCAGTAATTTACAAAAGAAAATACAGCCTTTCCTAACTTGTCCCATGTTGGTCTGCATTTACACAGCAGTAAGCTAAAAGTTAGTATTGGGGGTCAAATATTTCACTTTAGATGAACGTTTAGCCACAATCTGGCTTCTGTTAGGCCGTATCTAAGTTTTTTCATCCAAATGTAGAGCATCGTTTGTGGCAGCCAGTAGTACCTGCTGAGGCACAGGTGTGACAGCTGCATTTCAAACAAGCCTGAGAAGGAGAAAGAAAGCCCTTCAGTGTGTCCTGTGGCTGAGAGGAGCCACCCATAGACTCCACCTTGTAAACACAGTGGCACAGGACACAGCACAGGCCTAACCCATGCAGGATGCTGGACTCGTTCCCTCATTCACTACCTCCTCTCTCTCCTTTT